GTGTTTTGCCACTGCCAAGAGTTGTGTTTGGGAATATATATTTTTTCTTTAATGCTCTTTTAGTTTCATGCTGATCATTCGTCCCGTGTGACCAACATAGCATTTGCCACAGAAGCAATTAATCCGGTACACACCTTCTGTTGATAGCTTTAGTACCAGATATTCATTTTTTTGTATTTAGTGTACCATGCCAAATCTCACTTGGATGTTTTTGTTCTCCAAATATCTGCCAAGTTTATCAGTTACTCCCGCAATGTACGGTGTTCTAATAGTTTTATTCGATCTTGATTTGAAGCTTTCGTGACTGCAGGAATCCATACTCTTTGGTTCTTTCGGTAAAGTCACGTATGTAGGTATAAAATGAAATAAAATAAATCACCACAAGTATATGTGGTTAATGCAGACATTATTCCTTGCAAAGGTTTCAGTTTGGTGTTTTAACATCTTAACACCTGTTTTATTGCCAGAAAGGGGAAATCCCTATTATCATAATTTAATACTGGCAAAGGAGGTCTCATGATATAAACTATATATTCTTATGTTACCAGGTAAGGCCGACTGAGAAATATAGCTCTTTTTTCACAAGTGACCTGGCCACAAATCATAGATGAACGAAGTGGCTTTTCAACTGGAAATTTACAAGGCGTGTGACTGGTAGTACAGTGCAATGCTAAGGAGCCCCATCTCTCTGGCAACAAAACTGACACCTTTTAACAAGGAGTCATGTTTGCATAGACCGCAATACCTGCAGTCATAATACAAACAAAAGAACATAACTCTGATAATGTGCACTGTCCTTGAAGTTGATTGGTCCACACCCAAGACAGCTTTCCTTAGAGCCTAGTCTCACATGGGTGGCGTCATCTGGTCTAACCCATGTGAGACTAGGCTCTAAGGAAAGCTGTCTCGGGTGTGGACCAATCAACTTCAAGAATAGTGCACATTATCAGAGCTATGTTCTTTTGTTTGTATTATGACTGCAGGTATTGCGGTCTATGCAAACATGACTCCTTGTTAAAAGGTGTCAGTTTTGTTGCCAGATAGAAGGGTAAAAAAACAATTATCATATTTTTACTGGCAAATGAGGTTCCCATGGTGAGCCCCATCTCCTCTATTTCTGTGGCGATGGGTCTGATTTGCATTTCGTCTACAAATGAGCGGAGCTAATGGAGATGTACCTCAAGAAACGAGGGATAGCATCAGACTAGTATGAGGAGATCCAGTTGAAACCTATCTGAAAAGCCAGAAGCATCATGAAGGTCAAACTCCCTTGTTCAATGGGAACATGAAAGCAATGGGAGCTTTCACGCTCCTATAAACATCAAAACAACAGACCACTTACCTGACGTGGTGCACGTGCAAACACGGACAGTCCAAAAGCGAAATCAAGGCCTCTGATTGGCGTGGAGAGGGCTGAAAGAGGATTGGCTGGAGGAAAAACACATTCCTGCTGAGGGAGCTGTTGGGTTGCTCGGTCAATGGCCAGGATCAACAGCGGCGTGGTGTATTCGCAAATATGGCCGACTGTGAGGGCGGGCACAAGCCGGCGTGAGTAGGTTAAACGTTGAGTTTTATAAGGGCACCACGGGGTGACCAGCCCCTCCCTCCCCACCCAGCCCCACCCCTCCCACCCCCCACCCAGCCCCACCCTCCCCACCCAGCCCCTCCCCACCCTCTCCACCCAGCCCCTCCCGCCCCACCCAGCCCCACCCCCAATCCAGCCCCACCCTCCCCACCCAGCCCCTCCCCTCCCTTTCCACCCAGCCCCTCCCGCCCAACCCAGCCCCACCCCTCCCACCCCCAATCCAGCCCCACCCTCCCCACCCAGCCCCTCCCCTCCCTTCCCACCCAGCCCCTCCCGCCCCACCCAGCCCCTCCCTGCACGACGGACGGACACAATAATCCCGTGGGCTGGTGTAACCAGGAGGTTCCAACCAGTATAATTTAAGGGATTGGAGGAGAAATACAAACGTAAAAGGCGGGAAACGAGGGTTGACTGACGGGGGGAACGGTTGACAACCGTTGGACATGGAGGAAAGGGATTGGCTGAGGAAATAGGGTGAGATAACCTTCGAGAAAGGGAGCTCGAATGATGTGAAATGGGATAGCATAAGGGGAAAAGATGGTTGGAGAGAAGACGATGTAAAGCAAATAGCATGTGTCGGTCGTCATTACACCCCCATTGCTTGCTAAATCAATGTAGATCATGTTTGTTTTGGTCCCTAAAATGTCTGCTCATTCATTTCCTGTTTTTGGAAAATCATATAAACTAAGGTAAGTAGAGATACCTTATATGCTTGACATGGGAGAAATGTGTGTAATCTAAATACCCTGCCACATGTGGCAGAGCTCATTTGACAGATGCTTCAAAAAGAGCACCATGATTACTACACAGCCACTTGTCAGACCATGTTCCAAGCTCCAAATGCAATCACCCATCTGAGCTGAGCCAGGCCTTCAATTTATGGATGGGTTTCCACCACTTACACCATATACCTCATTTGCCAGTAAAAAATTATAATTGGTTTTTTACCCTTTTATCTGGCAACAAAACTGACACCTTTTTTACGAGGAGTCATGTTTGCATAGACCACAATACCTGTAGTCATAATGCAAACAAAAACATAACTCTGATAATGTATGCACTGTCCTTGAAGTTGATTGGTCCACACCCGAGACAGCTTTCCTTAGAGCCTAGTCTCACATGGTTTGGACCAGATGACGCCAAAAGGCGCACAACTCAAAGACAATGCACCATCAGAGTATGAGAGTTCGGGGTAAGAATTTACACCATTGGTACCTCATTTGCCAGTAAAAAATTGAATTGTTTTTTTACCCTTTTATCTGGCAACAAAACTGACACCTTTTTTACGAGGATTCATGTTTGCATAGGTAACAAGCTGAGATTAGGAGCACTCCCTTTAAGAGTGTGCTCCTAATCTCAGCTCATTACCTGTATAAAAGACACCTGGGAGCCAGAAATCTTTCTGATTGAGAGGGGGTCAAATACGTATTTCCCTCATCAAAATGCAAATCAATTTATAACATTTTGACATGCGTTTTTCTGGATTTTGTTGTTATTCTGTCTCTCACTGTTCAAATAAACCTACCATTAAAATTATAGACTGATAATTTCTTTGTCAGCGGGCAAACGTACAAAATCAGCAGGGGATCAAATACTTTTTTTCCCTCACTGTACCCATACATCAAATTCACCATGGAAGTGGAGGATGGTAAGCTACCATTCCTGGATGTTATGTTTGAGAAGAGATCTGATGGCTCGTTGGGACACTGTCTACAGGAAAGCCAACCACACAGATTCCTATCTGAAGCCTGATTCCCACCACTATCCGGCACAGAAGAATTCCCTCATCAAAACACTACACCATAGGGCCCACTGCATTTCTGACCAACACTACCTAACTAGTGAACTGAAACACGTACACCAGGCCCTCAAAATAAATGGGTACTCGGACCGCATTATTCGCAAAGCTGTTTCTCCAACCATGGAGAAACCCCCTGAGACGCCGATCAAAACCTTCACGTTACTATACATAGCAGGCGTTACCAAAAAGATTTACAAAATATTAAACAAACACAAGATCCAGGTCCGATTCAGTACAGTACACAAAATCCGTGATCTAATCCTATCTGTAAAGGATGTCATTCCTGACCTGCAATATCCTGGAGTCTACAAACTAAGTTGCACCTGTGGTGGGTGTTACATTGGGGAAACGAAACTAAATGTCTCGGACCATGTTCGCGAGCACAAGTCAGATCTGAAACACGGCAGAACTCCTCCACCGTGGCTGACCACTGCTATAACGCTGTGGGCTCTCATATTGTTTTTTCCGAGACCAAGGTGCTCTGCAAACCTTCGGGCTACTATCAAAGGTTTGTTCATGAAGCCATCCAGATATATAAACATAGACATAACTTCTACCAAAAAGATGGCTATAAATTGAGCAATCATTGGATGGATGCTATTAACCAGGTAAAACCTTAAATGCTTTATGGTGTTGCCTTCATTTCCGCATCTCCCCTTTTGCATTTGCTCCTTTTGCCCTTTGATCCTTTCTAGCTGCTCTTCATCTGGCGGCACTCCACTTCCCCCCCACCCTCTCCTGCCTGGCCATTCCCCCCTTACCTATATCACCTCGTATTACTTCTACCCAATTCAGCAGTTGTTTCTTGCTGTGGTTGTTCCACCTGATGACGGACGCTTGTGTTGTGCCCGAAACGTCGTGATTTAATTTATTTTATACCTACGTGACTTTACCGAAATAACCAGAGTACAGGTAAGTCTGTGGGTGTCTGTGTGGTGAATCTATGGATCTGCGTGGTGAGTCTATGGGTCTATATGTGGTGAGTCTATGGGTCTGTGTGGTGAGGTGAGTCTGTGGGTCTCTGTGTGGTGAGTCTGTGGGTCTCTCTGTGCAGATGAGTCTATTGGTGAGTGAGGCAAGTCATAAAAAGGTCCCAAGGAAATTTAATATCAACGTTACAAACTCCAGGTACAGAAACACCTCCACTCTCTCCATAACTCTCCCATCACCCATGGGGCATGGAAGGTGGCGGTGGAGGTTTTGATGATTCAAAATACCCATGCAGGTGCTTGGTTGTGGTGGGGCTGATGGCAAGGCCTCCACCGTCTCTTCGTGGCACGCTCCAGGTTCAGCATTAGTCTCCAACTCCTTATTTGAGTGAGTAGCAATCACCAAATCATCAGCGTACACAGCATTGTTGACAAATATGGAGCCATCCTTTGGTGTGTAAGTGGGTGGGTGAGTGTGTGAGTGGGTGGGTGAGTGGGTGCGTGGGTGGGTGAGTGGGTGGGTGAGTGGGTGCATGAGTGGGTGCGTGAGTGGGTGGGTGGGTGAGGGAGTGGGTGAGGGAGTGGGTGGGTGAGTGGGTGGGTGAGTGGGTGGGTGAGGGAGTGGGTGGGTGGGTGAGGGAGTGGGTGGGTGGGTGGGTGAGTGGGTGAGTGGGTGAGTGGGTGAGGGAGTGGGTGATTGGGTGGGTGAGGGAGTGGGTGATTGAGGGAGTGGGTGAGTGGATGGGTGAGTGGGTGAGGGAGTGGGTGAGGGAGTGGGTGAGTGGGTGGGTGAGGGAGTGGATGAGTGAGGAAGTGGGTGGGTGAGTAGTTGAGCAGTGTCTGGGTGTAGTCACTACTACTGGAGGTGTACACCAGGCTGTGTGTGTGACTGTAGTCACTGTCACTACTGGTGGTGTACACCAGGCTGTGTGTGAGACTGTGAGTGTGGTCCCCCTCTTTAAGGGGGACTGCACAGACTGTAACAACTACAGGGGAATCTCACTCGTCAGTGTGCTGGGAAAGGTCCTGGCAAGGATTATTCAACATCGCCTTGCCAGGCACGCTGAGGAGAGGCTTGTGGAGCCCCAATGTGGTTTCAGGAAAGGGCGGTCCTGCACAGATGCCATATTTTCTGTCCGTGTGCTACAGCAGAGGTGTAGGGAATTCCAACAAGACCTACATCTCTGCTTTATTGACCTGGTCAAGGCCTATGATACCACCAGTAGGCCTGGGCTATGGGTAGTTCTTCGTGCTTTCGGAGTCCCTCACCCTTTGCTCACGATCATTAAGGACCTTCATGATGGTGAGCGGGCCCGGGTAAAACTACGTAGCCGGGAGTCAAAGCCATTCCCTGCACACCTTGGGGTGCGACAGGGATGTCCTCTGGCTCCCACCTTATTTAACATCTATTTGGACCACGTAGTTCGTGAAGCCTTCAATAGCTGTACTGGAGGAATTTACATCTGGTACAGATATAATGGGAGGCTAATTGCTGCTATTCAGAGGAGTTGGAGACGCTGCTGCTGGAACTGGAGTGTGCCACTAAGAGGTGGGGCCTTACCATCAGCCCCACCAAAACTAAGCACCTGCCTGGGTATTTTGTACCATCGGACCCTCCACCCCCACAAACTCCCAATCAGTGATGGGGCAGTTGTGGAGAGAGTGGAGTTTCCCATACCTTGGCAGTGTGCTCATGACCGGCTCCGGTTTAACAGCAGAGGTCTCACTCCGAATCAATCGAGCGGTAATATCTTTTCATCGATTGCGTAACGCTGTGTGGAAGCTACCTGGTCTGTCGCTCTGCATGAAGCTTCCGGTCTTCTCGGGCCACGGTCATTCCCTCCCTTCTCTACGCTTGCGAAACGTGGACCCCCCTAATGGAACATCTTTGCCGGTTAGAAACATTTAGGCTGGCTTGCTGACGATCAATCCTGGGTTTAACCAGGCTGGATTGTGTGAGGAGCTCGCAAATCCTTGAAAGATCTGGCCAAAGTCCCATCGGTGAGCTCCTCCGGCAGGCAAGGCTGCGTTGCCTGGGCCATGTAGCCCGCATGCCCAGCCACTGCATGCCCAGCCACCGCATGCCTAAACAGCTTTTGTTCGGCCGGATAGGGGGGGCTAAACGGGTGCGGCACAGGCTACAGAAGAGATGGAGTGATATGGTACAGGAGGACGTCGAGCTGAGTGGACTTGCCGATGACTGGTACCAGCGGTGTCAAAATCGGCCTCTGTGGAGGGGGCTCGTGAAGGACGCTACTGGGCAGTTGGAGGCAGTCGCCCTCCAACAACAGAGGGCGGAGGAGCGACGCTCACAAGAACGAGTGGAGCGCCGGGTGGCTAAAGCACAGCAAGTTGGCACAGGTGGTGCATCAGCCACTCATCTCAGTCAGTCGACCCGTGGCACTTGGGTCTGCCCCGTGACCTCCTGCCAGCGGGCGTTCGACACTTCATGTGGCCTCAACGTGCACCTAGCCTGGCACAAGCATCGTGGTGACGTCACCGCCACATAGTTGCGAATGGCGGTTGTTGTTGTGTGTCACCCTGTGAGTGGGTGTGTGTCTGCATGTCTCTACCATATGTCTGCATGTGTGTCTGTGCGTCAGCCTGTAAGTGTGTGTGTCTGTACCATCTGTGTGTCTGCCTGTGTCTGTATCAATGTCTGTGTGTCTGCCTGTGAATGTGTCTGTGTGTCTGCCTGTGAATGTGTCTGTGTGTCTGCCTGTGAATGTGTGTGTGTCTGTGTGTCTGCCTCTGAGTTTATCTGTACCACCCACGCGTCTGCCGGTGAGTTTTCCTGTGTGTCTGTCTGTATCTGTGATTGTGTCTGTGTGTCTGCCTGTGAATGTGTCTGTGTGTCCGCCTGTATCTGTACTACCCCTGAATCTGCCTGTATCTGTACCACCTGTGTGTCTGCCTGTGTTTGTACCACTTGTGTGTCTACCTGTGAGTGTGTTCGTGTGTCTGCCTGTGAGTGTGTCTGTGTGTCTGCCTGTGAGTCTATCTGTGTCTGTACCACCCCTGAGTCCGCCTGTATCTGTACCACCCCTGAGTCTGCCTGTATCTGTACCACCTGTGAGTCTGCCTGTGAGTGTGTCTGTGTGTCCGCCTGTATCTGTACCACCTGTGTGTCTGCCTGTATCTGTACCATCCCTGAGTCTGCCTGTATCTGTACCACCTGTGTGTCTGCCTGTGAGTGTGTCTGTGTGTCCACCTGCGTGTCTGCCTGTGTCTGTACCACCTGTGTGTCTGCCTGTGAGTGTGTCTGCGTGTCTGCCTGTGTGTCTGCCTGTGTCTGTACCACCCCTGAGTCTGCCTGTATCTGTACCACCTGTGTGTCTGCCTGTGAGTGTGTCTGCGTGTCCACCTGCGTGTCTGCCTGTGTCTGTACCACCTGTGTGTCTGCCTGTGAGTGTGTCTGCGTGTCCGCCTGTATCTGTCCAACGCTACCACCAGTGGCTCCCATTGCGGCGTTGCTGTGGCTACGGTGCGGCTCTCCGACTGTCTCTTCGTGCTGGTGGTGGTCGTGGTGGTGGTCGTGCTGGTGGTGGTCGTGGTGGTCGTGGTGGTGGTGGTCGTGGTGGTCGTCGGTGGTGCGGTGCTGTCTCTGGGGGTGCACGATGGTGCGGTGCTGCCTCAGGCTGTCCGGCTTCTCGAACATCTTGCCGCACTCGTCGCACATGAAGTGATAGGTGGGACAGAGGTTGTGCTTGCGCATGTGCCAGTTGAGGGAGGCCTTCTGCCTGCAGCGGAACCCGCAGAGCTGGCACCTGGGCGGAGACACCGCGGGGAGACACCACGGAGACAAGGAGAGACACCATGGAGAGCTAGCCACGGAGAGAGAGACACACAATAGAGACATGGAGACAAGGAGAGACACCATGGAGAGAGACACGGAAAGAGAGACACACAGAGATAGACATGGAGAAAGAGACACACAGATAGAGACATGGAGACAAGGAGAGACACCATGGAGAGAGACACGGAGAGACACACAGAGATAGACACGGAGAAAGAGACACACAGATAGAGACATGGAGACAAGGAGAGACACCATGGAGAGAGATAGATTCGGAGAAAGAGACACGAAGAGAGAGACATGGACAGAGAGACACGAAGAGAGAGACACACGAAAATAGAAATACGTGTGGTGTACTGTGTGTGGTGTTCCGTGTGTGGTGTACAGTGAGTGTGTACAGTGTGTACAGTGCGAGGTGTGGTATGTGTGGTGCACATTGTGTGGTGTACTGTGTGTGATGTACAGTGTGTGGTGCAGTTCGTGGTGTACAGTGTATGGTGTACAGTGCGTGATGTGCAGTGCGTGATGTACAGTGGGTGGTGTACGTGTGTGGTGTACAGTGTGTGGTGTACAGTGTGTGGTGTACAGTGTATGGTGTACAGTGCGTGATGTGCAGTGCGTGATGTACAGTGTGTGGTGTACGTGTGTGGTGTGCAGCGTGTGGTGTGCAGTGTGTGGTGTGCAGTGTGTGGTGTACAGTGTGTGGTGTACAGTGTGTGGTGTACAGTGTGTGGTGTACAGTGTGGTGTACAGCGTGTGGTGTAGTGTGTGGTGTACAGTGTGTGGTGTACAGTGTGTGGTGTACAGTGTGTGGTGTACAGTGTGTGGTGTGCTGTGGTGTACAGTGCGTGGTGTACAGTGCACGGTGTACAGTGTGTGGTGTACCATACTCACTGTAGAGGCTTCTCCCCGGTGTGAATGCGAATGTGAACGTTGAGGTTGCGTTTGTTTTTGAAGCTGGTGCCACAAGTCTCACACGTGAAGTTCCTCTCCTCTGGCAACAACAACAACAAACACAACAACAACCACAGTCAACAACAACCACGTGGTTCTGGACAGTGTCTAAATACCCATATCTCTCTCTCTCTGTGTCTCTATCCCAGTGTCTCTCGCTCCCCGTGTGTCTCTCTCTCCCTCTCTCTCTCCCCGTGTCTCTCTCTCTCTCCCAGTGTCTCTCTTTTTTTTTACGATCAATGGAAACAAGAAGATGCTTGGTGTAGTAGTAGGGTTTTACCCTTTTAAACTGGTACAAAACTGACACCTTTATTCAAGGCATCATGTTTGCAATAACCACAACACAAGTAGTCAAAAAAGCAAACAAAAAGAAGCAACTCTGATCATGATAATAATATGCACTGTCCTTGAAGTTGATTGGTCCACACCCGAAACGGCTTTCTTTAGATCCTTCTGGTGTCATCTGGTCCAACACCAATGGGGACTAGGCTCTAAAGAAAGCCGTCTCGGGTGTGGACCAATCAACTTCAAGGACAGTGCATATTATTATCATGATCAGAGTTGCTTCTTTTTGTTTGCTTTTTTGACTACTTGTGTTGTGGTTATTGCAAACATGATGCCTTGAATAAAGGTGTCAGTTTTGTACCAGTTTAAAAGGGTAAAAACCTACTACTATATTTTGCCACTGGTAAAAGAGATCTCATAATGCTCGGTGTAGTCGGCACTTTGCTTCGTTCATCATTTTTCCAGTGTCTCTCTCTCCCTCTCTCTCTCCCCGTGTCTGTCTCTATCCCCGTGTCTCTATCTCCGTGTGTCTCTCTCTCCCAGTGTCTCTCTCTCTCTCCGTGTGTCTCTCTCTCCCAGTGTCTCTCTCTCTCTCCCAGTGTCTCTCTCTATCCCCGTGTCTCTCTCTCTCTCTCTCCGTGTCTCTCTCTCCCCGTGTCTCTCTCTCTCCCAGTGTCTCTCTCTATCCCCGTGTCTCTCTCTCTCTCTCCGTGTCTCTCTCTATCCCCGTGTCTCTCTCTCTCCCAGTGTCTCTCTCTATCCCCGTGTCTCTCTCTCTCCCAGTGTCTCTCTCTATCCCAGTGTCTCTCTCTATCCCCGTGTCTCTCTCTCTCTCCCAGTGTCTCTCTCTATCCCCGTGTCTCTCTCTCTCCCAGTGTCTCTCTCTATCCCCGTGTCTCTCTCTCTCCCAGTGTCTCTCTCTATCCCAGTGTCTCTCTCTCCGTGTCTCTCGCTCCCCGTGTCTCTCTACCTGAGTGAACGTTCTCGTGCTGTCTCAGATGCCGGGAGGCACGGAAAAGTTTTCCGCAGCCAGGGAAGGGACAGACGAGGCCTTGGGTCTCCCCGTGCCTCCGAATGTGCTTCTGTGTGGGGACACGAGGACACAGACATGGGGAGAGAGACACGGGGAGGGAGACACAGGGAGAGAGACACGGGGACACAGACACAGGGAGAGAGACACGGGGACACAGACAAGGGGAGAGAAACACGGGGACACAGACACGGGGAGAGAGACACGGGGACAGAGACCCGGGGAGAGAGACACGGGGAGAGAGACACGGAGAAAGAGACACGGGGAATGAAACACGTGAGCGAGTGGTGAGTGGGTAGCGAGTGATTGGTGAGTGAGTCGTGAGAAGGTAGTGAATGAGTGGTGATTGGCGAGTGGGAAATGAGTCAGTGGTGAGTGAGTAGTGAGTGAGTGGTGAATGGGTGGTGAGTGAGTGGTGAATGGGTGGTGAGTGAGTGGTGAATGGGTGGTGAGTGAGTGGTGAATGGGTGGTGAGTGAGTGGTGAATGGGTGGTGAGTGAGTGGTGAATGGGTGGTGAGTGGTGAGTGGGTGGTGAGTGAGTGGTGAATGGGTGGTGAGTGAGTGGTGAATGGGTGGTGAGTGGTGAATAGGTGGTGAGTGGTGAATGGGTGGTGAGTGAGTGGTGAATGGGTGGTGAGTGAGGGGTGAGTGGGGGGTGAGTGGGGGGTGAGTGGTGAGTGGGTGGTGAGTGAGTGGTGAATGGGTGGTGAGTGAGTGGTGAATGGGTGGTGAGTGGTGAATGGGTGGTGAGTGAGTGGTGAATGGGTGGTGAATGAGTGGTGAATGGGTGGTGAGTGGTGAGTGGGTGGTGAATGGGTGGTGAGTGGTGAGTGGGTGGTGAGTGAGTGGTGAATGGGTGGTGAGTGAGTGAGTGAGTGGTGAATGAGTGGTGAATGGGTGGTGAGTGAGTGGTGAATGGGTGGTGAGTGAGTGGTGAATGGGTGGTGAGTGAGTGGTGAATGGGTGGTGAGTGAGTGGTGAATGGGTGGTGAGTGAGTGGTGAATGGGTGGTGAGTGGTGAGTGGGTGGTGAGTGAGTGGTGAATGGGTGGTGAGTGAGTGGTGAATGGGTGGTGAGTGGTGAATAGGTGGTGAGTGGTGAATGGGTGGTGAGTGAGTGGTGAATGGGTGGTGAGTGAGTGGTGAATGGGTGGTGAATGGGTGGTGAGTGGTGAGTGGGTGGTGAGTGAGTGGTGAATGGGTGGTGAGTGAGTGGTGAATGGGTGGTGAGTGGTGAATGGGTGGTGAGTGAGTGGTGAATGGGTGGTGAATGAGTGGTGAATGGGTGGTGAGTGGTGAGTGGGTGGTGAATGGGTGGTGAGTGGTGAGTGGGTGGTGAGTGAGTGGTGAATGGGTGGTGAGTGAGTGAGTGAGTGGTGAATGAGTGGTGAATGGGTGGTGAGTGAGTTGTGAGTGGGTGGTGAGTGAGTGGTGAGTGGGTAGTGAGTGAGTGGTGAGTGGGTAGCGAGTGATTGGTGAGTGGGTAGTGAGAGGGTAGTGAATGAGTGGTGATTGGTGAGTGAGGAATGAGTCAGTGGTGAGTGAGTAGTGAGTGAGTGGTGAATGGGTGGTGAGTGGTGAATGGGTGGTGAGTGAGTGGTGAATGGGTGGTGAGTGAGTGGTGAATGGGTGGTGAGTGAGTGGTGAATGGGTGGTGAGTGAGTGGTGAATGGGTGGTGAGTGAGTGGTGAATGGGTGGTGAGTGGTGAGTGGGTGGTGAGTGAGTGGTGAATGGGTGGTGAGTGAGTTGTGAATGGGTGGTGAGTGGTGAATGGGTGGTGAGTGAGTGGTGAATGGGTGGTGAGTGGTGAATAGGTGGTGAGTGGTGAATGGGTGGTGAGTGAGTGGTGAATGGGTGGTGAGTGAGTGGTGAATGGGTGGTGAATGGGTGGTGAGTGGTGAGTGGGTGGTGAGTGAGTGGTGAATGGGTGGTGAGTGAGTGGTGAATGGGTGGTGAGTGGTGAATGGGTGGTGAGTGAGTGGTGAATGGGTGGTGAATGAGTGGTGAATGGGTGGTGAGTGGTGAGTGGGTGGTGAATGAGTGGTGAATGGGTGGTGAGTGAGTTGTGAGTGGGTGGTGAGTGAGTGGGTAGTGAGTGAGTGGTGAGTGGGTAGCGAGTGATTGGTGAGTGGGTAGTGAGAGGGTAGTGAATGAGTGGTGATTGGTGAGTGAGGAATGAGTCAGTGGTGAGTGAGTAGTGAGTGAGTGGTGAATGGGTGGTGAGTGGTGAATGGGTGGTGAGTGAGTGGGGAATGGGTGGTGAGTGAGTGGTGAATGGGTGGTGAGTGAGTGGTGAATGGGTGGTGAGTGAGTGGTGAGTGGGTGGTGAGTGAGTGGTGAGTGGGTGGTGAGTGAGTGGTGAGTGGTGAGTGAGTGGTGAGTGAGTGGTGAGTGGGTGGTGAGTGAGTGGTGAATGGGTGGTGAGTGAGTGGTGAATGGGTGGTGAGTGAGTGGTGAGTGAGTGGTGAGTGAGTAGTGAGTGAGTGGTGAATGGGTGGTGAGTGGTGAATGGATGGTGAGTGAGTGGTGAGTGGGTGGTGAGTGGGTGGTGAGTGGGTGGTGAGTGAGTGGTGAGTAGGTGGTGAATGGGTGGTGAGTGAGTGGTGAGTGGGTGGTGAGTGATTGTTCAGTAACCTCCAAGTCACTCTCCCGTCTGAATCTTCTGGAGCAACCTTCATTTCCGCAGCAGAATGGAGACACAGAGGTCACCCTGGGGTCACAGGGGTCAACAGGTCAGGGGGTTATGGGGTCTATGAGTGGATAGGTCAGAGTGAGTGTATGAGTGAGTCTATGAGTGAGTGAGTCTATGAGTGAGTGAGTCTATGAGTGAGTCTATGAGTGAGTGAGTCTATGAGTTAGTCTATGAATGAGTGAGTCTATGAGTGAGTAAGTCTGTGAGTGAATTTGTGAGTGAGTGAGTCTATGAGTGAGTCTATGAGTGAGTGAGTCTATGAGTGAGTCTATGAGTGAGTGAGCCTATGAGTGAGTGAGTCTGTGAGTGAGTGAGTCTATGAGTGAGTCTATGAGTGAGTGAGCCTATGAGTGAGTGAGTCTGTGAGTGAGTGAGTGGGTCTATGAGTGAGTCTGTGAGTGAGTGAGTCTATGAGTGAGTGAGTCTATGAGTGAGTGAGTCTATGAGTGAGTGAGTCAGTGAGTGAGTGAGTCTATGAGTGAGTTAGTCTATGAGTGAGTGAATATATGAGTGAGTGAGCCTATAATTGAGTCTGTGAGTGAGTCAGTGAGTGAGTCTTTGAGTGAGTGAGTCTATGAGTGAGTCTATGAGTGAGTGAGTGAGTCTGTGAGTGAGTGAGTCTATGAGTGAGTGAGTCTATGAGTGAGTGAGTCTATGAGTGAGTCTATGAGTGAGTGAGTCTATGAGTGAGTGAGTCTATGAGTGAGTCTGTGAGTGAGTGAGTCTGTGAGTGAGTGAGTCTGTGAGTGAGTGAGTCTGTGAGTGAGTGAGTCTGTGAGTGAGTCTGTGAGTGAGTGAGTCTGTGAGTGAGTGAGTCTGTGAGTCAGTAAGTCTATGAGTGAGTGAGTCTGTGAGTAAGTCTGTGAGTGAGTCTATGAGTGAGTGAGTCTGTGAGTGAGTGAGTCTGTGAGTGAGTGAGTCTATGAGTGAGTGAGTCTGTGAGTGAGTGAGTCTATGAGTGAGTGAGTCTATGAGTGAGTGAGTCTATGAGTGAGTCTGTGAGTGAGTGAGTCTATGAGGGAGTGAGTCTATGAGTGAGTCTGTGAGTGAGTCTGTGAGTGAGTGAGTCTGTGAGTGAGTCTATGAGTGAGTCTGTGAGTGAGTCTGTGAGTGAGTGAGTCTGTGAGTGAGTCTATGAGTGAGTGAGTCTATGAGTGAGTGAGTCTATGAGTGAGTGAGTCTATGAGTGAGTGAGTCTGTGAGTGAGTCTGTGAGTGAGTGAGTCTATGAGTGAGTGAGTCTATGAGTGAGTGAGTCTATGAGTGAGTCTATGAGTGAGTGAGTCTGTGAGTGAGTAAGTCTATGAGTGAATGAGTGAGTATATGAGTGAATGAGTGAGTATATGAGTGAGTGAGTCTATGAGTCAGTGAGTCTGTGAGTGAGTCTATGAGTGAGTGAGTCTGTGAGTGAGTGAGTCTGTGAGTGAGTCTATGAGTGAGTAAGTCTGTGAGTGAGTGAGTCTATGAGTGAGTGAGTCTATGAGTGAGTGAGTCCATGAGTGAGTCTATGAGTGAGTGAGTCTATGAGTTAGTCTATGAATGAGTGAGTCTATGAGTGAGTAAGTCTGTGAGTGAATTTGTGAGTGAGTGAGTCTATGAGTGAGTCTATGAGTAAGTGAGTCTATGAGTGAGTGAGTCTATGAGTGAGTCTATGAGTGAGTGAGCCTATGAGTGAGTGAGTCTGTGAGTGAGTGAGTCTATGAGTGAGTCTATGAGTGAGTGAGCCTATGAGTGAGTGAGTCTGTGAGTGAGTGAGTCTATGAGTGAGTGAGTCTATGAGTGAGTGAGTCAGTGAGTGAGTGAGTCTATGAGTGAGTTAGTCTATGAGTGAGTGAATATATGAGTGAGTGAGCCTATAATTGAGTCTGTAAGTGAGTCTGTGAGTGAGTGAGTCTATGAGTGAGTGAGTCTATGAGTGAGTGAGTCTATGAGTGAGTCTATGAGTGAGTGAGTCTGTGAGTGAGTAAGTCTATGAGTGAATGAGTGAGTATATGAGTGAATGAGTGAGTATATGAGTGAGTGAGTCTATGAGTCAGTGAGTCTGTGAGTGAGTCTATGAGTGAGTGAGTCTGTGAGTGAGTGAGTCTGTGAGTGAGTCTATGAGTGAGTAAGTCTGTGAGTGAGTGAGTCTATGAGTGAGTGAGTCTATGAGTGAGTGAGTCCATGAGTGAGTCTATGAGTGAGTGAGTCTATGAGTTAGTCTATGAATGAGTGAGTCTATGAGTGAGTAAGTCTGTGAGTGAATTTGTGAGTGAGTGAGTCTATGAGTGAGTCTATGAGTAAGTGAGTCTATGAGTGAGTGAGTCTATGAGTGAGTCTATGAGTGAGTGAGCCTATGAGTGAGTGAGTCTGTGAGTGAGTGAGTCTATGAGTGAGTCTATGAGTGAGTGAGCCTATGAGTGAGTGAGTCTGTGAGTGAGTGAGTCTATGAGTGAGTGAGTCTATGAGTGAGTGAGTCAGTGAGTGAGTGAGTCTATGAGTGAGTTAGTCTATGAGTGAGTGAATATATGAGTGAGTGAGCCTATAATTGAGTCTGTGAGTGAGTCAGTGAGTGAGTCAGTGAGTGAGTCTTTGAGTGAGTGAGTCTATGAGTGAGTCTTTGAGTGAGTGAGTCTATGAGTGAGTGAGTCTATGAGTGAGTGAGTGAGTCTGTGAGTGAGTGAGTCTATGAGTGAGTGAGTCTATGAGTGAGTCTGTGAGTGAGTGAGTCTGTGAGTGAGTGAGTCTGTGAGTGAGTGAGTCTGTGAGTGAGTGAGTCTGTGAGTGAGTGAGTCTGTGAGTGAGTCTGTGAGTGAGTGAGTCTGTGAGTGAGTGAGTCTGTGAGTGAGTAAGTCTATGAGTGAGTGAGTCTGTGAGTAAGTCTGTGAGTGAGTCTATGAGTGAGTGAGTCTGTGAGTGAGTGAGTCTATGAGTGAGTGAGTCTGTTAGTGAGTGAGTCTATGAGTGAGTCTATGAGTGAGTGAGTCTATGAGTGAGTGAGTCTGTGAGTGAGTGAGTCTATGAGGGAGTGAGTCTATGAGTGAGTCTATGAGTGAGTCTGTGAGTGATTCTGTGAGTGAGTGCGTCTGTGAGTGAGTCTATGAGTGAGTCTGTGAGTGAGTCTGTGAGTGAGTCTATGAGTGAGTGAGTCTATGAGTGAGTAAGTCTATGAGTGAGTGAGTCTGTGAGTGAGTGAGTCTGTGAGTGAGTGAATCTATGAGTGAGTGAGTCTGTGAGTGAGTGAGTCTGTGAGTGAGTCTGTGAGTGAGTGAGTCTGTGAGTGAGTGAGTCTGTGAGTGAGTAAGTCTATGAGTGAGTGAGTCTGTGAGTAAGTCTGTGAGTGAGTCTATGAGTGAGTGAGTCTGTGAGTGAGTGAGTCTATGAGTGAGTGAGTCTGTTAGTGAGTGAGTCTATGAGTGAGTCTATGAGTGAGTGAGTCTGTGAGTGAGTAAGTCTATGAGTGAATGAGTGAGTATATGAGTGAATGAGTGAGTATATGAGTGAGTGAGTCTATGAGTCAGTGAGTCTATGAGTGAGTGAGTCTATGAGTGAGTGAGTCTGTGAGTGAGTGAGTCTATGAGTGAGTGAGTCTGTGAGTGAGTAAGTCTGAGTGAGTGAGTCTATGAGTGAGTGAGTCTGTGAGTGAGTGAGTCTGTGAGTGAGTGAGTCTATGAGTGAGTCTATGAGTGAGTGAGTCTGTGAGTGAGTCTGTGAGTGAGTGAGTCTGTGAGTGAGTCTGTGAGTGAGTCTGTGAGTGAGTCTATGAGTGAGTCTGTGAGTGAGTCTATGAGTGAGTGAGTCTGTGAGTGAGTGAGTCTGTGAGTGAGTCTGTGAGTGAGTCTGTGAGTGAGTCTATGAGTGAGTTCGTGAGTTACTTTTGCTCCCTCGGCCGTCGTCGCGTTCTGAGTTTTGACTCCGTGGACTCACGACCGCCCACTCCCCTGCGCAGTCTGTAGTGAATACACACCAAACAGACACAGGTAAAGCTCCCCCAGGTAGCCTCGCACAGGGCTGTAGCGGCAAGTACTGGAGTGAGTAGCGATCGCAACACAAAGCTCCCCCAGTATCCCCGTCCCCGCGTCTCTTTGATACCTCTCGCTTGACGTTCCTCCATCGCTGATTTTGCAATGTGCTGCACACACAGAGACGCGGACACATGGAGACAGACGGACACAGAAACACAGAGGGACTCAGAGAGACAAAAAGACATGCAGAGACAGAGACAGAGAGACACGGAGACACGGGGGACACAGATACACAGCAGCAGTAAATACAGAAATACAATTCTCCCCGTGTCTCCCCGAGTCTCTAATAGTGTCTCCCCTGTGTCTCCCTGTGTCTCCCTGAGTCTCGCCGTGTCTCCCAGTCTCACCGTGTCTCCCCGAGTCTCTAAATGTCTCCCTGTGTCTCCTTGTGTCTCCTCATTGCTCCCCGCACCTCTGTATTGCTCCCCGCATCTCCCCTAGTCTCCCCGTGTCTCCCCGTGTCTCCCCGTGTCTCGCCGAGTCTCCCCGAGTCTCCCCTAGTTTCCCCGTGTCTCCCCGTGTCTCCCCGTGTCTCATCGTGTCTCCCCGTGTCTCCCCTAGTCTCCCCATGTCTCCCCATGTCTCCCCGAGTCTCTAAATGTCTCCCCGTGTCTCCCCGTTTCTCCCCTCGTCTCCCCATGTCTCCCCGAGTCTCTAAATATCTCCCTGTGTCTCCCCGTGTCTCCCCGCATCTCCCCTAGTCTCCCCGTGTCTCCCCGTGTCTCACTGTGTCTCCCCGTGTCTCCCCGTGTCTCCCCGTGTCTCCCCTAGTCTCCCCATGTCTCCCCGTGTCTCACTGTGTCTCCCCGTGTCTCCCCTAGTCTCCCCATGTCTCCCCGAGTCTCTAAATGTCTCCCTGTGTCTCCCCGTGTCTCCCCTTTTCTCCCCTAGTCTCCCCATGTCTCCCCGAATCTCTAAATGTCTCCCCATTTCTCCCCGTGTCTCACCGAGTCTCCCGTGTCTCCCCGTGTCTCCCCGTGTCTCACCGAGTCTCCCCGAGTCTCCCCTAGTTTCCCCGTGTCTCCCGTGTCTCCCCGTGTCTCACCGAGTCTCCCCAAGTCTCCCCTAGTTTCCCCGTGTCTCCCGTGTCTCCCCGTGTCTCACCGAGTCTCCCGTGTCTCCCCGTGTCTCCCCGTGTCTCACCCAGTCTCCCCGAGTCTCCCCTAGTTTCCCCGTGTCTCCCGTGTCTCCCCGTGTCTCACCGAGTCTCCCCAAGTCTCCCCTAGTTTCCCCGTATCTCCCCGTGTCTCACCGTGTCTCTGTGGAGCCACAGACAGAGTGACACTGTCCGGTTCCAGCTGCAGAGAAGAGAGACAACGACACTCAGTTCACCTCGCCAGCACTGTAACCCATTGGGTGAGTGGGTGGGAAAGTGAGTTGTGAGTGGTGGGTGAATGGATAGGTGAGTGGGTGAGCGAGTGAGTGGATGGGTGGGTGAGTGATTGGGGAAGTGGGTGAGAGATTGGGTGGGTGAGTGATTGATTGAGTGTGTGAGAGAGTGAATGAGTGAGTGGGTGGGTGAGTGGGTGAGTGGGTGAGTGAGTGGTTGAGTGGGTGCGTGCATGGTTGAATGAGTGGTTGAGTGGTAAGTGGTGAGTAGTTGAGTAAGTGGTGAGTGTATATTTGCACCTTTATATCCAGTAATGAACTCTTGACATTCTGTAGAAACAGAGAGACAGTAAGTCACTCACTTACCAATCACTCACCCACTCACACGGCCACCTGCACACCCACTCACCCACTCACTCACCCGCTCACACACTCACCCACTCACTAACTCGCCAACTCACTCGCCAACTCACTCACTACTCACTCACCCCTGCACCCACTCACCAACTCACCGACCCACTCACTCACTCACTCACTAACCCACTCGCTCACCCTCCCTCTCACTCACCCACTCACCCACCCATTCACTCACCCACCCACCCACGCACTCACCCACTCACTCACCCACCCACTCACCGTGTAAGCATTAGTGAGTGGAGGTGGTGAGGGCGGTGAGTGGGCAGGATGTCCGAGTGGAGATGGAGTGACACTCCAGCGGAATGAGTGTCCAGAATCACAGCGCCAGGAGACAGACTGGAGAGACTCGGGGAGACACGGAGAGACATGGTGAGACTCGAGGAGACACGAGGAGACGCATGGAGACACGAGGAGATTCAGGGAGACACGGGGAGACACGGTGACACTCGAGGAGACACAGGGAAACACGGGGAGACATGGTGAGGCTCAGGGAGATATGGAGTGACTTCATTAACAGAATAATTGGGTGAGTGAATGAGTGGGTGAGTGGTTAATTTGAGGAGTGAGTGGTGAGTGAGCGGGTGATTGAATGGTGGGTGAGTGGTGAGTGTTAAGTGAGTCGTGAGTGAGTCATGAGTGGTGAGGGAGTGGTGAGTGGGTGAGTGAATGAGTGGGTGAGTGAATGAGTGGGTGAGTGAATGAGTGGGTGAGTGGTTAAGTTGAGGGGTGAGTGGGTGATTGAGTGGGCGAGTGAGTGGTGAGTGGTTGGTGAGTGAGTTGGTGGGTGAGTGAGTTGGTGGGTGAGTGAATTGGTGGGTGAGTGAATGAGTGGGTGAGTGGGTGGGTGAATGAGTGGGTGAGCGAGTGTATGGAATTCTGTGTGTGTCCTGTATGAGTGGTGAGCATCAGCTGAGTGCGCTCACCGGGTGAGGCGTGGTGGTAGTGAGGAGGAGAGGGAGGTGGTGACAGGTGAGGGCGTGGCTGTGAGTCCATGACACCAGCGTCACGAGGCTCCGGACGGTGTCTACACGGAGACACTCACCACTCACTCACCACTCACTCACTCACCCACCCACCAGCCCATTCACCCACCCACTCATCCACTCACCCACTCACTCACTCATCCACCCACCCACTCACTCACCACTCACTCACCACTCACTCACCCACTCATTCAC